CTTCTAACAAATTCCGCAATTAAAAATCTGGACAAGCAATTGTGGCTGTGACGGAATTACGATCTGAGGGGCACCGTATTCAGCTCAAATTTCCGAATCGCCGCTCAGCTGATGCCACGTGTCCTCTTTTTCGGCGATAAAACACCTAACGTGATGTCACTAATCTGCACAAGGCTAGTTACATTTGCGTTTGAAAGGTCGAACATTAACGATGTTCGCACTCATGTCAATCAGCCCTTGCGGATTTGCGAGGTTCTGTCTAAACCACGTACTGCATTTTTTAACCTTCAACGGCAGAACTAGACGGAGCCCTCTGAAGGAACCACATCTGATCGAGGCTGATGTTCTTCCTACTGGTTTCAGTATTCATTTTTAGCAGTGGGCTTAATTACGACGTGTCAGTAGGGCTTTCGAATGCTCGCACAGAGAGGAAGTCTCTTACAACTTCTCGGGATCCTAAGAGCTGATCACAGCCATGTATATGAGGCTGTTGGCCCGGCCCAGGTGAAGCCAGTGTGCTACATTCCTTTCAACAAAGTGCGCTTTTCAAGTTGGTGTGGTGTCCTCTCGTATGCTGTGGCAGTGACGCTACGCTCCAGTGAGTCTCTAAGCTCATCAGCATCATCAATCTTGATCTTTGACGCCACACTGTTCTAATCTTCTTCCACCTTTACGCCTTATTCAATCCAAACGGTTCGTCAAGTCAAAAACTGCATGCGACCAATTTCCCGACATAGAGCTTTGCAAGCAAAGCTTGAGCATGTTTGAAACAGGCTGTTTCCAAGCGTGTCTAGGTTTGTGAAGCTCTGCAAAAAGCAGATCCGCCCTCTTATCTTTCACAGCCAGTTTTACCATTGTGACACGCTGGTCCCGCGAATGGGTCCCCGTCCATTTTGGCCTCAACTATTTTCAAGGCTATTGGAATCATGATATCGATGCCAGCACTCTTACATTCGAACAAATGGACGGTATGCCAGCCCAGGTACGCCTTTGGGACGGCTGTGATTAATGGCGTTTTTTCCGGAATCAAAAAGGTCCCGAACCGCTCATGCGGACAACTTGACGCCAGTGGCTGAGAGAAGCACGACAGTCTCGTCGACAAAGCGCGTGCTCAAATTGCGAATAGCCCAACAAACCATCCGACGGAGGCGTTGCTGCGGCGGCTAGAGTCTAACTTTTCCGCCGCCACACGTCTGTCACGACTTTGTTGCGGCGCACGAGCGCAAACCTTTTTGAGCTCCTGTCCGTTGCAGTTGTTGGTTCCTTTACTTGCCACGACTATAAGCTAAGCGCACACCGCCTTAGTTTCTGAGGGGCTGACTTCATCTGTGATTTGTCCTCTCAGACTTTCAGAGAAGGAGCATTCATCCGTGGTGACCGTGAGACTGTCGGGCCCGCCCGGACTGGCTTTAAGCACCCTCGATAGTGAGGCTGACCGTTTAGCGTCAAAGCTTCCAAGCATGGATTCTAGGGCTCGAAAAGCCCTTAGCCTTCACTCTGTCGGCCGAGGCACAGTTGGTGGGTGCAAGAAAATTAAGGTGACAATGCTTTCGCTTACTTCAATCACGTCAGCAAGCGCAGAAATGCCAAGGCGCTTTGTTCCGATCCCGTTCCGATCAACCCGCAGTTCCTAATCCGTCGGAGTTCGCCACCCATTCACCAGCAGGTTCCATCCGCTCGCCCACCTCGACGTTTTTAGTTTCCTTCCATACTGAACAAGGTGCCTTGTTCAGCAATGTTGTCTACGCTATTCGAATCGTCTCAAAGCTGCCAGCTTGTACGGTACGTCAAGCTTACCGCCCAATTATTCCAAGATGATCTCCATCAAGCCTGCTTGGAATCTCGCGCTTTCGTGTATCATCATACGGCTCCTTTGTTGGTTTCTCCTCACGTGGGCACAATGATCCAGGCGCCTTCAAGTTGCTAGTGGGTCGCCCAGTCACCTGATTTGCACTGCCTTGGTTCCTTAAGCTGTTACGAATCAATTCGTGAGCGTAGGACTCACGCCTTCGTGGTTCTGAGGCCACATCTGCCGATCCTTCAGGCTCAGTTCTATGCTGCTTCTGCGTGTCTTATTCTCCCTCCACGATCCTCCCCCGATTCGAAGTGAGGGCTGGAACCTGTCTCCCCCTGCGAAAGCAGGTGGGTTGGTTCAGCCTTCTGTGCTCAATAGGCGGCTTTTGAAGCCATGCATTTTCAAGCCAATCTTCCCTTCGACTGCACGTCAATAATACTCCATGCTGTGCTGGTCAGAAACCATGTTTCCAGCGGTTCTATTTCCGTCAGACAGTTCATCATTTGAGACGCAGAGCGACAGCCCCTCGGGTGCATCCCTCGAGGCATTCCAATCATCTCCCTGCCACCAAAAAGTTTGCCAAGTATAACGAGTTGGGTTACGGCTTTGATAAAAGGATCAATCACTGGGTACCAGAGTCCCAAGCAATGTAACCTGAATTTTGACGCCGTTTCCTGAACCTTAGAGCAACGCCTTGAAACTTCTTGACTACTGCGGTGACTTGCTCCAGCTTTCAATCGTGGGACTTGTAAGTACCTTGGATATAATCCATACTTTCCATCGGTAGCTCTCACCCCTGGGACGGATCTGAATACTGTGCTTGTGAAAGAGTCAAGTACGATTGGAGAATGTGGTCAATGTGGCATGTGGGCTATGAATGATTACGTACTGGATCCGGTCGTCCAGAATCACCCAACGGGGAGTCGACGTGCTCAAGAGATTCATGAGCCAGCTCCAAACCGTAAGTGCTGTAACATACTCTCAGCGTTCTTCTTGCATGTGGACATGTGTGATGAGTCACTCAAAGCTGATTATACACGATAAGGTCAACTTCCGGACATGCTCTAATGCTCATTTGGGTAATTGACGAGCGGTTCTCGTCAGTACGCCAGGGTTTGACCGACTCGGGAACATGCATTGATTGCATCCGCAGAGTTGCAGTATGCAACGGACCAATCAACCTTCTAACCTTATTGAATAGTCAAAGCATCAATCTGACTGATGAGATGATCATGGATCATTACTCTTTCATTATGACTCATGAGCATTGAGCTAGATCATTCCGTTCTGCAATTCGTGAGCATTGAGCTAGATTCCGTTCTGCAATTGTTCATGGGACGTTCAATGTTATGAATTCGAAACCATGCTCCAACGCGCTGATTGACATATGACGAGCACCCCGGGAGCACCGCCCGCCGCCCCGATATTCTGATACAGCGTGTGAGACAGAGAGTGACTATTTCACACATGAAACACACTCAAATTCAGTCAGCATGCGCGGCTTTCGCACGGCCCAGGCCGCCCGGGGGGGGGGCGGGTGTGGAGAGTAGCGTACAAAATTCCTTATCTCAGGAACCTTTCCCAATCTCAGGACCGGCGACACCTGTAGTATGTGAGGTACAACTCCGCCGTTCATGGACAAAGAATCTAGGCCCTTAGGTTTGCATTGAATCTGCATCGAACGGCTTCGATCGTATTCTTACATTCACCGGGCGGCCGCGTGAAATGCGTAGACATTGTAAGAGGGGTTCCACAATAGGGAAGAAACTTAACCCCAGAACCCCCGCCGCGGTTGTTCCCTCAGATCCGGAATATCCTGAGATCCGGAACCTGAGATCAAGTTCTGTACGCTAATCTCCACACCCGCCCTCCCGGGCCCAGGCCAAGAGCGGCGGGACGGGCCCTGCTGATCATGTCTTTATCCCGAGAAGTGCAGGCTTGTGTGGCCCACCCGATCATGCGCGCGGCCGCGACCAAAAGCTGCGACGGGCGGCGCGTCTAATCGGGGGTTGCAAGGGTTTAGTCTGACTGAAATCTGGATTGGCAACCGTGGATTGTTTGTTGGCAAAATCGAACGGCTGACCCGCTGCACATCTACGCTGGCTTTTCTCAACGGTTTAGATTGCGGCAAAGTGCTTTCCTCTATCACAAATCCCTACTCGAAGCCCAGTGTAGTTTTCAATTCTAAGTTCCCGCCGTGTTTTATCGAAGAGGACAATTTGAAAATTTGAGCTGCTTCAACTTGAAGGCCAGAAGCCAGAGTGCAATGTGCTCTGGATTGCCGCAGACTGCCGTTCTGCATGCCACAACTTCAAGAAGGAAGCTGCATTCGCAGGCCAATCTTTGCACAAGTCTTCGCTTGTGAAGCTTGGATGCTGGACAATCTGGATGCAAGCTTTGGTTCCGAGAGCCGGATCAACGCAAATGCTCGGAAAAGCTGGCTGGTTGTCCATCTTCCCTTGGCCGCAATTGTGGGCAGATTTCTGAATGCAATTTGAGGCGGCAGCACCAGCATAATTGAGTAGGGCAAGCGCACCAATAGTGGCTTGTCCGTGTTCAGGGAGGCGCGGGGAGGCGACAATCTGAGCAGAGGTGCATTCACAGCGGATGCCGAGCCTTCGCTAGGCGGTAGCGTTAAGATGAGGATTCAGCTGAGCTCGGAGTCGTGCTGATCCTGTTTGCAAACTGCGTTGCACCAGCAGGGAGTAGCATAATGGATTGGGAATTGAGCAAGGAGAATGTGCAGCCCTTGAGGTCTGGAAGAGATGTCAAACTCCTCAATGCAGCATTGAAGACGAAGATAGAAGCGGAAGCCAGTGCCAAAATCAAGGTGGAAAAGCTAGAAAGCGAGCGCAGGTAAGATGGTTATGCGTAGCCATCCCTCACCGGCATAAACAGCCGATGCAGGAGACCTGTCAATTTGCCGCTCTGGTCAATTGTTGCCTTAGAATCGGCACTGTCCATGTCTTACTTGATGGAAACAGCGGTGGTTTGAGCGTGACATCTTGCTGCAGGTCATTTGAACGTGACATCCAGTTCTATGATGGTGACGACCCTCTGGCACCGTGGCTCAGGTGAGCATTTGGCGCAGCATTTTCAGGCCTTGCCTGACGCAATCGACAAGGAGGATACAGCCTGTAGATGAAGAAGTGTGCATCAATGTTTGGTCACAAGCTTGTCAACTCCGATCACTGAATTAAGCTGTGGTGGTATCTGACGGCTATTCTGTCATGCTGCCAGGTACATCAGGTGGATAAAGGACTCATATCCATCTGGAGGCATCGAGTCCGAGAGCCTGCCCGTCCTTGAAAAGTGCACAAGAACCTTTCAGCGGGTGGCACGTTATCGGACGGACGTGAGATACCTGAGGGTCTGGATACAATATGTGAGTCCATCCGATTTGCAAGCTGGTCAAATCCCGGAAAGGACTGCAGTATGCTGACAGCCGGAGGTAGAACAAGATCGAGGCAGCCCAAAGCATTCGTACTGTTGCGCAACCTGCAGGGAAGCTGTTCTGAATCACAAAGTGACCTTTCGAAGCTCAACGAGTAATTGACTCTGTGTCACAGTAGCATACGCAGCCTGAATTAGCTGCTGATACTGATTGATCTTCTCATGTAGGCTGATGCATGTGTCGATGCGAAGGACATCTTCACATTTCTGGAGAAGAACGAGATTGGGCAAGATCATGCACTCTTCTACGAGGCGTATGCTACAAATCTGGAACTTCGGCGAAACTATGCAAAAGCCAGTGAGGTCTATAATTGGGGTATTGCAAGGTGAGACAATTCCATCTCTGACCGTCACCCGCGACGGTACCTGTCTTGATTGCGTTGTGCAGAGTGCACCATACTCTGCGAGAGGGTTTGCACTGCACCTTGCTGCCTTTAGGACCTGCCCACACTCACAACGTCTGAGCAGGCTCTGAAAATTTCAAGTTTTGACAGGAAGTATCAACAAAGTGTAGTGAAGTCTCTGCAGAGGCTTGCCATTCATTCATTCTCTTGCGTCCTCCAGACGAGCTGAACCAACGGAGAGGCTTGTCAACATGTACAAGGCATTCGAGGATCGGATGCAGAAGCGCCTAGAGAGGAAGAAACAGGAGGTAAGCAGAATGTCGAGTTGATGCCTTTCTTGCACTTTGGAAGATTTTGTAGATGTCATGCAGTGAGGCAATCTCGGCAATCTTGCGTATGCATGCTTAGTAATATTTCAAGGGCTCCAGTAGGATACATTCTGGTGCAAAGCTCTCAGTTTGGCTTAGCATCTGCAGGCAGCAGAGGGGTTGAGTTCAGCACCGGCCACTGATGAGAATGCGGGCAGGAGGACGCTCGCACCACTCAGATCTTCAAACCCGTCAGGTGATTATACACGGTGTCCAACAGCAAGAGCAGGTAGATGAAGATAATCTCAGGCTGTTATAAGGATGAGCCTGCCTTGTCAACTGGTGTCTGCTGATCCACTCTCAATATCATGTATCTTGTCCCTGAGCTCCAGTTTCATTCGGACATGCTCTTAGGTCAGGTTCGCCTGCCGGCACACTTTCAGGGCAGGAAGCTCAACGGCGCAATCCTTTTGTGCAGTACGGCCCCCGCAACCCATGCAAAACCAGCAGCGTCCTAAGCGAAAAGCAGCACCAACTCCTCCAAAAAGGTAGCCTGCACTTCATCCTTCTCTCAGACAGAAGTAGAGCTTTGTCCTCGCTGATGAAGAAGCTGATGCAAACACTAGCAAGGCGCATCAGCAGCAGGTCTGGCTGAATGATGAATGAAGCTGATGTTGGCGTCGCAACCTCGATCTGACCAGAACAGAGAGTTGTGGTAGATATGCGTCAACATTAAGGCAGCTGCTCTAGCAGTAGCATGATGAGCAGACTGTCTGACCAGCATACTGCCACTTGGATGCAGCAAGCTGGACATATTTGTGGATGAAGCGTTTGGGGGCCCTTCCGCTGGGCCTAGCATTGCTGCGAGCGGCAGATCAGAGGCTCTTGGGCCTGCTCCGCTTTGGGAGAAGCTGCCAACTCAGGCGGAGGGCAGCAAGGAGAACTGGCAGAAGGCTTCGCAGTGGAGCGGCATGAGGCTTCCGCAGAAGAAGACCAAGTCCGCTAATGCAGGGAGCGGCTTGGAGGTCTTTGTGGATGAGGAATTTGCTCAGTAAGTCTTGTTTTCAGATTCTGAAGAGCGAGCCGCGAGCATCTCAGATGGTTGTAGCTCACACACCTCCCTCTGTTGCAGAATGCAGAGTTGATACACTTTGACTCAAGTGAGGGGATATCTGGTTGCTGATAGATGCATCGCTTGTCTCCATCCTTCCAGCATTCAATTTCCAGCATTCAGTCCGAACTCACGTAAGCCATCTGTTGATCTTTGCCAAGTCGATCAAGGAAGCCTCTCATTGGATCTGGCTTGGTATCCCTGAAGGCGTACTTGCATAGATGTGAAGCTTTAATTGTCTTTCTGCAGCTCTGATTCTCATGGATCGGGCAAGTCAGACAATGAGGCATCCATCCGACAAAAGCTGGAGGGGAAAATCCTTGCACACAAGTGAGGGACCCATATTTGCTTCACGTTCGACCTCTGACGGGTTCACATAAGCCCTCTGCTGAAGCTGAGACTTGCTGTTGTAAGCGGTCCAATACTGTCTCTGATTGCCTTCCGCCAGCATCTGATGCCAACTCGAGAATTTTCTCCGTCTCATGCTTGCATTGGTGATTAACTGCTCAAAGGGTATTGGACAGCACCTTAATCAAGCTGCTTGGCATGCAGAAAGCGGACCGAGTCGGAGAGCCTGAAGGAGGATCCTCTCCGTCACTTCACCAAAGTCCAGCCAGCACCGCCCGGCCATACTGGGCCCGTTCCTAGCCTCGTTGCAGGTAAGGTGCAAGGTCGAGTCTGGTAACCCTGGTCTGCATCCTTTAACTTCTGAACACTTCTTAGTCCTCGCTTCTATCCTTCCAAAGAACTCAAAAGATTCTCGTCATCGAATTCTCAAAAACTTCGAGAGACGCTTGAGTTCTCTTGTCTGTTGTCAAGACTCTTTATTTTTCGAAGAACCTTTCTTGAGAAGGCTGTCGAGTTGCCCGGATTGCAATAAGGGATTGCCGAAGACTTACAAATCTTGAACGTCTCTCTTTATCCAGCTTCGTATGTTCGACTTTGACCCAGCCTGCACTTCTAGCTTTGTTGAAGTTGCTTTCAGTGCAGTCATCTCTTTCAGAGATAGCAAGCTTTAACTTTAGTGAGACTATCTGCAAAGGATCTTATCTTAATATCAGCAATAAACCGCTGCAGTGACCAACGCCAGCCCCAAATTTTCTAAAGGAGCCGCCCTGGCTACCTTCGCCTACGATACCGAGGCCATCAAGGGACCCCACGGCCAAGAGCTCTCCTTTGAGGAGCTGCACGCCCGCGACTGGGAGCAGACACACAGCTTGGAGGACGAACCAGTTCCCCAGCCCCCTCCCTCGACTGCCGAACCCGTCCCAGAGAGACCGCGCTCGCTGCTGTCCCTCTTTGCGGACGTAGCGGGGCCCGCTGAGATCTCATCCACGGAAACCCAAGGGGCAACCGACTCTGAGGGGCTGGCAGCAGAGTACCAACGGCTGAACATTGGGGGTAGTGAACTGGGGGGTCAAGCAACCAGGGCGCACTCGGGCCCTGGAAGCGAGAAAGCGGTAGCCGACGACGGCTTCTTAGGGGGCCTTAACGCCCCTACCGAGTCGCCCGTTAGCAGGCATGGGGGCCTCGTCGACCCGACCATCAACACACAGGAGGCAATGGCAGAGATTATGTCCATGTTCAACCGCCCGCTCCCAGTAGAAACGGGGCGCAAGAACCTGAAAAGCTCCGTTTCAAAAGAGCGGCGAGAAGCCCGGGGAGCCTTTTCCCAGCCCGCCTTCGACTCTCCCCCGGCTCACGACCCCACCCTCCAGATCTTTGCTGACGACTTCGTCCCGCGTGCCGCCAAGCCGCCCACTGGGAAGGAGAAAACGAGCAGAGGGTTCGGGCCTGTGGCTGGCCCCGAAAACAAAAACAAGGCCTCCGAAAACGGGGCTGGATTTGAGTCGGACGCAGAGAACAGGCCCCCTCCGACCGCGCAAGCCCCCCGCGCCTTTCCAGCTCGCGACATCCAATCCCCGACCGCTCAGGAGTCCGCTCTCCGCCCTCTAAGCGTGGACCGGATCCAGCAGCTAAACGTCCAGTTCAGTGCCGGCCAGCTAGCGTCTGACTACCCAGAAAGCGAGCAAACGGAGCCCCTGTTTGAAGAAACCGAACCCCTCCCGAACCCGTTCGAGTCAGGCGGGAACCCAGCGGAGGCCGCACTCCGGGTAGCGGGGCAGGGCGAACTAGAGGGGGACGACTTTCAGGTGTGGAGCGACGACCCCACGGAGAGGGCAAGCAACTCGAATGCGCCTCAGCCCGTCAGCTTCTTGAGCAAGCCGAAGCTGCCTAGAGATGACCCTTCAGCCGAGCGGTCTCGTCCTGCTGAGCACCCGGCCTCGTTAGAGACCCCAGTCGCGGGTTTCAGCGGCCGCTTGGAGGGGCGCGGCCTGGGATCGACACGTGGCAGCCAGGCTGAGCCTGACGACAGGGCGGGCAGGGAGGCTGGCGCATGGTCTGACGTCTTCATCCCGGTGAAGTCCCTGGCGAGGTCGCCTGGCAGCGTACAGCGACCACTGCAAAGCAGAGTGAGTGATGCAGCCTTGTCTCAGCTTCAAGTAACTGGGCTTCTTTAAAGCTGGCTTTCAAATGATCATAGAGCTGTCCCACTTCTAAAGAACTGCCAAGAGGTGCACATGCAGAACTCTAAATCCTTATATGCTGACAACATGTATGGAAGCTGCTCGCTTTGAGATGTCAAAAGCGTCTGCTCTCGTGAATGCGTTCTAAAGACTGTTCGAAGACGGTTTGGCATCTGCCATTGACGTGCCAACTTTCGGGCTCAACGACTCTGCCTATGGAAGCCTCTGTTTGCGGAAGTAAAGCTCACTCACTGCGATCCGTTTGACAGTCGAACTTCGTATCAAGACTAGAAAGGTAGCACGTGGCAGTTGTTCTCAAAAGGAAAAATTAGGCCTGACTCCCTCTTCATCTCGCAGGACGCCTCTATTCGCCCATCCGACTCCGCCCCACAACCAGCCGCACTCCAGCCGCAGCCCCCGGCCCCTAAACTAAACCTAACCCCGGGGGTCCCCCTCGACCCGTGGGACCCTGCGCTCATCGCCTCTCTCCTCAACACCCTTAACCCGCCCCTAACCTCCTACGAGGGTTTCGTTAACCTCGGCGGCGAGAGCTTCGAGGGCGCGTCCGCCCTCCGGCTGGTCAAGCGCAGCGCCAAGAGCGGCGGCGCCATGCTGCAACTAGGGCGGGAGACGTACGAGGTGAAGCAGTGCGTCGGGAGCGGCGCGTTCGCGACGGTGTACTTGGCATACCGGATGGACGCAGGGTACACGACGGACCTGATGGACGAGTCGGAGGATGACGGCATGCTGGCGCTCAAGGTGTGTGGTTTGTTGTATCTTTGATTGGCACAGGCAGTCGCGCGTTTGGCAGTGTGACGCTGAAAATGTCGTCAGACACAAAACCAGTTCTTTACCGTTCTCAGATCCATGGAGTGTGACTCCACCAGCTGGAGACGTGTTGTCTTTTTCCTGAAGTCTGCTTCAAATATGAACTCGCCCTTCCGACTGACTTGCTGTTCGATGACACTGAGAGTGCTAGACAATACCAAGCTCGAAGCACAACTATGATTCTGAACGGGTTCCTGTCAACTTCCTGAGGCGCTGCATAACTTTCCTCTCTTTCAGTGTTCCGAAGGTCTGTTACTGCTGGTATGACGCCATCCCGACCTCGTCAGAACTGCTCGACAACCCGTTCCGCCACCCTTTTCGTCGTGAAAAGCTGTTTCATTCAGGATTCTCACAAGATATTTCTCCTTCGCGCCTTCAGGTCCAGCGGCCCGCCTGTCCGTGGGAGTTCTACATCTACCGCCAGCTGGACGTCCGGATCCCCGCGGCGGAGCGGCGCAGCTTCGGCTCCGCCAAGCGGCTGTTCTGCTACGCCGGAACCAGCGTTCTGGTCGCCCCCTACGGCGAGCACGGCACTCTGCAGGACCTGGTGAACGCGTACCTGGCGGCCGGCCAAAAGGGCATGGACAGCACCACGGAGGTACGTACCGAGTAGCCTAAAGTGCCCTTCGACTCAAAGTGCTCCTACCTTGTGGCTTGTGGATCGCTTGGTTTGGTGTAAGGAGTCGAGGATCAAGTGCAAGTAAGATACTATGGCTGAAACACATGTCTCTGAATGTTTCGGGTTTAGGATCCTAATCAATAAGGTGCTTCTAAGCTTCGCAACGTTGCTGGGGCTGTAGGGCACGTTCGTCAAGCGAAACCTCGCAGCCCAGGTTCGAAGCGTTTAGTATTCTGACACTCAGCTTATCGTGATGGGCATTCGAATCAGCCCGCGCTTTCCTTACGATTTTAGTTTCGCAACTCACAAGCAGCTTTGAGGGCTCCGATCTAATCTTTACGGTCACGATATCCTGTCGTTCACCAAGTACTTTCTAAGCTGAAAGCTGAAGCAACTCTGTGCCGTTCTGCTTGCAGGCTGTCGCTGTCTTCTACACAATCGAGCTCCTCCGCATGCTCGAGGTCCTCCACGAGGCGGGCATCATCCACGGGGACTTCAAGCCGGACAACCTGCTCATACGGAACGACTGGTAAGTCTCGCTATGCGGACACTGCTGTCGGTTCGTACAGATAGCAGCAACAATCGCAAGGTCTGGGATCGTGTGCTGAGCGTACTGTTCGTCAGATTTGTTGCAAATTTACCACAGTCGTCTAGAAATCTTACTTTGGGGTGGCTTAGTTGAATGGGTGACGACAGCAATCTGCATCTGGAAGCTCATACCGGATTGCCGTTACATTCAAGATTAGTTCTCTCATGTACAGAGAGCGACTACTAGTCGGACAAATTCGTACACCAGATAAAGCACCAGATTAAGCCCATTCTTTGTCCCTTTTTCGTCTTCCTCCCGTCCCATCGCTGTAAGGAAAAACAATACTCTCCCATGCAGCTTTTTCCAGACCTTTAACTTGCTTTTCCTTGATGTCCGCACCCGGCTGATAACCAAACGTCTCACTGCAGCGAGCGGTGGGAGGACTGGGCGCCCGGCCGGCCTGGCTCGTGGCGCGACAAGGGCCTGACTCTGGTTGACTGGGGGCGCAGCATCGACCTGGCCAGCTTTACCCCGGGGCAGACCTTCTCCGGGGACTGCATGACGGAGGCGTTCCGCTGCATCGAGATGGTGGAGAAGCGGCCGTGGAGCTTCCAGGTACGGACACGTGTCTACGTACGGATTCTCTTGTCCGTAATTTTGAGGTCTGTGCGGACGGGACCTTGAGGAAGCTGGACGGTCCGAACACGGACGAACAGGCTGGGGTTTTAAACAGACTGTCAGGGCGCTTAAGGTTTCTGACACAACGTAGGGATGATTTACCTCCAAAGGAGAACTTTATCAACAGCTCTAGGTTCGTACGAAATGACGTAAGCTATTGTCGAGGACGAAGAAGCTTATTCAATGCCTGTGCCACGGCCTTTTGCGGTCAGCATCTTCACTAGTCCTCTTCCCAGCAATGCAGTGGACCAGGGACCTCCGTGTTTAAGTTTGTCACGGGAAAGCAGGCTGCAGAATCGCAATATGTACTTATCAGCACCGGATCAGTACCTCAAAGCACTCAGGCAGCGAATCGCTGGTGCTTCTGCAATCCTGAGACGGAACCAACGAGCTTTCAGTTCCTTTCTGAAGTGGAAAAGTTTTTGCAGAGTCTCGGTCTCTCTTCGTTTTCAAACAACCCTCCTTCAGAAGCGGTCGGCAGAAATTCACTGGTTTGAGTAAGAGACAAACTCAAATCCTTGCGCAACCTTTTTGCAGGTTGACACATACGGCCTGTGCACTGTCGTGCACTGCCTGCTGTTCGGGAGCTACATGGAGGTGGAGAAAATCACGCCGGCAGAGGGCGAAGCGCCCCTGTACCGGCAAAGGGCGCCTCTTAAGCGGTAAGGACCGAGCGAACGGTTCTGGGTCAAGATCGTCGCTTGTGGCGTAAGTTGTGTTGCAAGGAGAGGGCAGTCTAGTTTCAAAACGGCAGGTTCAACTCCGTTTATGAAAGTATGCTGGCGCTTGTACAAGCCTGAAAGCACCCTTCACACAAACGACGCTCCTCGAAAGTAGATCCCGTAGGCATAGAATTGGCTTCTTTTGCCGGATTGAGCGCGATTCCATACTTCTGTGCTGGCGTTCGCTCCGCTGAGTCCCTGAATACGAGTAGGTAGACACTTTGTGCGGCCAGCAAGACTTTCTTAATAACTATCTTTTATTCTGCAGGTATTGGAACGTGCCGCTATGGCAACGCCTCTTTGACACGCTCCTGAACGTGCCCAGCTGCGACAAGCAGCCCCAGCTGGCTCCCCTCCGAGAGGCCTTTGAGGAGTATCTGAACACCAAGAGCAAGTCGGTAAAGCCCCTCCTAATCAAGCAGAACATCATGATGTTCGACAGGAAGTCGGACGCGTAGAGGTTTTCGGTCCCAGACACGTAGCCAGTCCCTTGGGACAACGTAACTTATCAAGGCTGAAATTGATGAGACTCGATCGCCCAGGTACAGCTGGTGTAGAGACTGGCCATTGATGCCTTCTCTGGGAATGTAAGTGGGTTTTGGCAGTGCAGCAGTTTGGTCCAGTTTGTCTGAGTAGCAGTTGCCCAGCTGAACAGAGGACCCCAGTCCCGCGAATCCGCACATGTAACTTTCGGCCAGGTTTTGGAAATGACAGAAAGGATTGTCAAGTGCTATCAGTCGGTCTACCATCTCACGTGATTTCTTGCTTGGCCTGATGATCCAGCAATTTCAACTTCACGAATCGCGGCAGCAATCCACACTCTCGCCGGACTGGTCAATTTGACCTGCACTTTTGGATTTCTTGCTTGGCCTGATGATCCAGCAATTTCAACTTCACGAATCGCGGCAGCAATCCACACTCTCGCCGGACTGGTCAATTTGACCTGCACTTTTGGTCTGAATCAACTTCGCTCTAATTTTCCTTTTGAAACATAAATGAATCGTCATATAATGGTGATCGATTACAAGAAAAAGGTGGCGAGATGCTGTTGGAAAGCTAGGAAGCACATGCAAATCCGAACAAGTTGGAATAACAACGGCAGCCGACGAGCTATGCTAGTGCAACTGGATCACGGAGTGCACAGTGCGGCCGCCGCGCCGCGCACATGTACCGGACCGAACGTACCTACCTATATCCTGGCACTGCCGCGCGCCCCGGCCCCCACGGGGCTCATCTGAGTGGCAGGCAGAGCAGCCTGGCTTGCCATGTCATAAGCCTCGATCGAGGCGCGCCGCCCCTGCGCGGCCCAGGCCTGCTATAGCGCTGAATGGTGCTATGATGTATATCATGAATGACTCATACACATGGCTGCGCGCTGGTCATTCGTTTCATGCATGGGCAGTCATGCACTTGTTATGTAAGTATATATGCGCGTGTCGATCAGCGCACATGACGGGACCGTCAGCTTGCACATGTACTATAATGTGTGGTGCATGTGCGGCATGACTTATTCCCTGCATGACGGGTGTACGCATACGCACTCCAAGATCATGACATGTGCTGGCATGAAAAATTGAATTAAGCATTTTTACATAACTTCGGCCGAAGATGTACGTTCTGCCAGGGCCGTCAGCCTGTGCTCAGGACTGTGTCAATAGCCAGTGGCCGTGCCTGGCCGCGCACATCCACTGAATGTACTAATGTACCGCGCTGGGGCCCTAACACATGTAACGTAATCTATCCGTATGAGGCGCTGCATACTTCAGGACCTGAAAACACCATGTGCAGTACTTTAGGTGTATCCGTCTCGAAAATGTACGCGTTCAAAAGAAGATACTGATGCACGACTTCGATGTGTTTGACCTCTCTATGACGCTCAAGATTGGCCATGGCCGGCTCAGTGGAACTGAGATGCTGCTGTAGTAGCTCAACGCGAAGAGTTGAGCCCAAGTCATCTTGCCTTGCAAACCCAACCAGTTGCGAGTACACTTTTTTAGAGGAGACAATTACGCCCATGAGAGGCCCATGAGCTAACTCTGCAAAGAGAAGGGCACAGGAAATCAGAAAATGAGACGTCTGGTAAGGGTCGATTTTAGTTTACAAGTTGCCGGGACTTGAAGAGAAGGCTCTCGCGATCAGAGCGGCTGGCATCTCTGGCTGACCATTCTCGCTAACGTAAAGGTTGTCCAGGTGTCTGGGCTAGAACACGATCAAATCTGTGGGGCATCATGAGAGTGCCAGTTGCGATACGGTTCGTCATTTTCAAGGTGTGGAGGAAGCTTCTAAACGGCAAGAATCGTGGCGGATTCCAAACCGTAAAAGAGAGTGTTGAAAGTTGTGAACTCCCCCTCAGAGTGCTAGAAGACATGAGAACCTCCCTTATGAGTGCTAGAAGACATGAAAGAAAGCCACCTCCCGAAATTGCATCGAATCACGACCTTATCTTTCCCTTCAAATCCGAGAAACGGATTGCAAAAGCGTTGAAGTACTCGGACGTACCTGCAAAATAGATGCGACGCTGTACGCGTGTCAGACGCCCAGCGCCTTCATCGCCTGTAGCACCAGCCCCCCGACCGCCACGTATACATCTCCCGCCAGATGCAGCCTCCACACGTCCCCCCATAGCTCTGCGGGCGTATCCCACGTCATGTGTTCCCTGCTGACGAAAGCTTCCCTCCGGTTACCGCCCAAAACCCGCTCCTTAACCCGCTTCCGGAGGTACTCGTTGAACCGTCGGCAGACGTCGGGCCAGCCGCTGTTGGGCGGCCCGTTTATGAACAACACGTTGTCTAACCAGACAATCTTCGGAAGCGGAAATTCGGTGCGATCGAGCTCCGCCAGAAACGCGTCGAGCTCCCGCATGTTCTCCCACTCGCGGCTGTCACCGAAGTGCCAGCAGTTGTGGACGCCCGTCGACAGGACGATGACGTCAGGCAGCGCGCCGGGGCGCAGGCTGGGGAGCACTTCGTGGAGGAACGTGACGTCATACTCCTCGTGGATGAAGTGCTTCCAGCCGTAGGTTAGGCTAACCGAGGCGCCTGACCCCTGGGTTACCAAGTCCTCGTGCTCGGCGTGTTCGTTAACCGAGCACGGGGTGTCGTCGAACGGGAGCGGCTTGTAAGGCTTGCGATTGGGTTGCGCACCAGACGACCGGAAGGTCGACTTGGCTTCCTGCATTTGAGAGTTAGGGGATGAGCACGCGGATTATCGCACGACTGGGTGACTTGAAGTTGGACGAGCGGATAACCAGGAGTTACGAAATCAAATGAAGCCTTGATGGATTGACTTGGAAAGTTGTCGATCAGGTTTCGGGGGGAATTTCTCACAGGTTCCGGCAGCTTGAACCAGCATCGGTATCAAACGGAGTGAGTGATCATTTTTTTGCGTCACTCGGTTGCCAGCTGAGACGGGCTAAGTATGAAGCAACGAGAGTGCGAAAGAGAAGACTACTGAGTTCCAAACGCTCTTGTCAGCTGTTCTTCGATTCCGAGCATAGCACCGATCGACACTTAAAGAATGGGTCGGCTTCTCGCTCGGAACCAAGAAGAGTTACTTTCAAATCGGCACCATTGTTGGGGTGAGACTTCGTATATCAAGTAGGTTTAGGTTGAAGTGATCAGTAACAGTTTCTCCTGGATTGCAAAGCTCGAGTATCATATGCAAGCTCAGAAAGGCGGTCATAGGGATTTCGAGTGATTAAGCCGGGGGGCTCCTTCCCGCCACGATTATTTGCGCAATCGACACGTTTCTCTTTCCAAATGAGAAGTCCGCGGTATATCCACGGAGCCCTGCTTAAATTTGATTCTTGACACCGGATGTAATGCAAGCTTAACCCTTCATGATTTTTGACTTCTACCACGCTGTTCCTTCTTCTGATACAACGCCAAGACTCACTCACCTGGAAGGAGATGCTCGAGCCCTGGATGCCGTTCAGAAAGGCGGTGAAGATCTGGCGCATCGTCGAGTCGCCCCAAAAGTAGACCCACTTCCCGTTCAGCATCTGGTGCGCGAGGCTCGTGTTAAAATTCAAAATTTCCGGAGCGTCCTCCTCCCCATGCGGACTGCCCATGAACGAGAAACCCTGCCCGTTACTGTTCCGCTCCCAGTTACCCTTGGGCTCAAAAATCAGGTCAGTATCATTAACCCTCATTTTGACCTCAACGAAATTGGCCGGACTAATCTCGTCCAGTGGGGCAGCTACTGCTGCATCGGTGGTGGTTGTGAGAAAGAGCTCTGGAACCTTGAAGATGTTTGGAAGCTCAGTGGTTGCAATTTTGACGTCCTCAGCTGAGCTGTTAACAGAATCAGGAGTGGGCTCTTGAAGAGTAAGGCTCTCTGCTGACTTGAAAAGGGCTGACGCAATGTCAACCAGCTTCAGCCTATTCCGTGGAAGGAGCGATGGAACCGCCAGGGTGCCATCTCTTTCAACACTCTCCTCTTTATTGTCTGTTGACATAGAAGCCGTCTCGCTGAGGTCGGTACTGTCTTCAGCTTGGAGAGGTGTCAAAGCAGAGGCGCTTGCACTATACTCTAGCTTCCCAATTTGGCCCTTTATCGCAGTTGTTGGCCAAGGGACTATCCGGCTCACCACCGTTTCAAACGCCCCGTCGTTTTCCTGGTAAAACTTTGCCGCGACAAACACCATCAGCAGGACAGCTGGCATGATCATACTGGCGAGCTTTACGGTGCCCATCCCGCTTTTTGAACGCAAGGCATGGCCGGCAGGCTTCATTTTCTGCTTCGGTCTGACGCCCTGGTTTTATCCCTCTGCTTGGACTTGCGTCGCCTATTGACCAACCTAAATTGCCCACTGTCTTGTTTCGAATGTTTCTTACTTAATGCAGCTAGGCCAGAAGCAAAGTTCTTCTGGGCATCCCAGCTTCACAACGGTGAAGGCAGCGCACAGCATTGCCCGACTGACCCCTGACCTAGCAGCAAGACAGGTGGGGCTTTGACTGGCCTGTGAAGAGGAGTTTGCCGGTCAAAGACTTAACATTGTGCTCCTGCTTCAGCCCGGTGATTGCATGATCGACCTACTGCTCAGATTTCTCATTGCCGGCATTGCCAATTCAGAGGCAACTGAGGTTGGCGTTACATACTGTCCTCGGAGCGGGAAGTCATAGCCGACATTGTGCAACTGATCGGGGGTCCTGCTAAGATTGCTTCCCAGATGGAAACCTGTGTTCGTTTTTGTGACCCTAACAACCTCGGCAATGCATGTGAATAGGGCAGGAATCTGAGCTCATCATATGTTGCTAAAGGACTCGGACAAACGCCCGGACAAACGCTGTGTTTGTGAGAGCGTTCTGAGCAGCTGCGTGGAACTGCAGCCTGTCTGACAAGCTTCTCATCTCGCCCCCATAGCTGTTTGTTTGAAACGTTTGCCTCGTGACTTTTGCAATCACCTGCCGCCGTTCCGCAGGCCGCGTTCGGATCTCCAAGCTTGAATCAGTGCGCCCGGTACAAGAGAACAAGCCCCGATCGACAATCACGAACTAATCATGTCAATCAAGTGCTCAGGCGTTAATGTGTTACCGTGCTTGGACGCTATTAAAATGCGCCGGGAGCAACCGGCCTATTTGGAGGCGGCGGACCAGTGCATCGACTCAATTGCGGTGAAGAGTACCAACGTATATGAATTGCTACATGACGTACTCTAGCATAGTATAGATTCATTGTAGTATGGCTGCCTCAGCATTGCGAGCTGGCGAGCTTGAACAGCGTTCAAACAAGTGCCCAAGATCGGCGCTTGGCAGCCTATCAGCGTCGTTTGAATCGGCTGCTTCTGGGGTCGATGTGATTGGGTGGGAAAGTGGCGTCGTTGTCATTGGGTGTTTTGTCACATGCGCCGCTGCTGCCAGGGTTGCGCCTCGGTTGCGCCTGACCCGGTACCTCGCTCAATCCAAAAGCATCGACGGTTGACGGGTGTTAAAGCTGAAGTATGGACGGTTCGAACTGCACCCGGCAGCTCACGCGCGCCAATTTGACGATCAGGGCCGTTGTAGACGGTCATACCAGGTGCAGGCCGGCCGGCATTGAGGCTTTCGAGCTAGGTACAGTAAGGTTCCGCGTCGACCGAAAACTGCTTGGCTCGCCAGCTTCGGTCCGCGTACAGCTTTGGATAGTACCGCTCCAGCTAAAACTTGTACTAGGTCTGTACATTTGTTACCACGTGATCCATTGAAGCGTTCTAATTGGTCGTCACGACCGGGGATGAGCGCTCAGCCATTTCGGTGGACGCGGGATTTAAGTTGTCTACTGCCACTGCCAGTCTGCCAGACGTTCCGATGTTGAGCTACCTAGCTAACTTCATAACTTAAAGGCTGGCTCACTACTAGATCGGTTGATTGATACCATACATCTTCTCTAGAATAGGTTTAGAAAGTAATTACTTATACCATACATAGTGTCCATTGTTTGAGTCTCCTTATAAGCGTATATGGCGCATTGCGGAAACCACTGTCACCGTGGCATGATATTGGGGCCGGCCCGACGACTTCTGCATGAGCCTTTGAGCTGTTCAAGTCGCGGACCGTCACGTCACAGTCACACTGAACTGCATATGACCGGCCTCAATGACTCTTATTATGTCGTGCGACAGCCTGGCAGGCCTGAGGCGTACAGGGCTGGCGCCCCTGTCGCCGCCGCCGCTGCCACTCGTGGCTGCCTGATCGCGCGCCGGGCGCGGCCGGCCGGGCTTGAAGCGAGTTGAAATGAAGAATGTTTGATCGCTGCGCATGTTTATCCAATATCATATCAACAGTGGTTTATATTGATATTATGTTCTGGTTATTGACATATAGCATGATTTCCTGCATTGCATATAGAGGATTGAATTGTTTGGCCGATAAGTTAGCGCAGCGCTGGCACAAAAAAATCAACAGATTCATGAAATGGAGGAGGGGCCGGTTCGATCGGTTTGATACCTTCGCGGCCTCCTTGATCACGCGCAATGTATGCATGCTCTTAATGCGCGCGCATGCATCTACGTTCAACCGAGATTACGTGTACTGCATGGCCCAGTACGTGCCAGGGCGGCGGCATGTATAACATGTGTACTGCATGCTCTTGCATGTCAACAAAGTGCCGATTATACTAATTTGCACCACGCGGGCTAGCTACACAGTTCGTCAGGTGCACGGATAGAAACAAGGCTGCTAGCCTAGCCTGCCATCTCAAGGGCAACCAGATGCGGATTACCATGATGTAGAGGACTGCCAAGTTGCATCAGTGGACTGTGGCTACTACTACCGATTCAATTGAACCATCAGGACGACGTAATAAAATGCAACTCATTTCGCAATTGTTTTGATCGTCGAGGGAGTTTTATAGAACTCGGCCTTAACTAGATCGGTCTACCTTCAAAAGAGCTCGAAATCAAACCAGAGTCTAGTCCTACGCGCAGGCAAACAGAAATCAAAGTATGATCATCATGCGCTCTTGAAGTGTTTCCTGTTTCTCAACGTTTTCCTCTCTTAAAGTCTACTTTGTACTGCATGGCCTACTGCATAACACTTACAAAGTTCTTCAATTCTAAGCAAAACACAACCCTTTCAAGCGTCCCGGCTTTGCTCCTCTAGCAAGCGCCGCTCGCGCCGCTTTTCGCGCCAGTCCCTAAACCAGGCCCGGAACAAAATGAACGCGATGCAAGCCAGCAGAACGGCGACCGCGGAGATGAGAACGGACGCCACGGCAATGGCCGCGGTTCGGACGTCCTTGGACGGCGGCAGCACGCGTTCACCGGTCGGGACTGTGTCCTGGGGGCCGCGTTGGACGATCAGGAACGTGCCTGCAAGGGCGGAAACGCAATTCGTTCTCTCCTTTATCACCTTTTTGATCCTTAAAACAGTGAAATTAAAATGATGGGCAGCATCTCAGTTGTTGAAAATAAAGTCGGCCTATAGAAACTTTGCAATGACTGCACCCGATCAGCTTAAAGGGACCCGTCGTTTATCCGTAACGCCTCGGCGACCAGATAACCCATATATCCGCAGTTTGGGTCGCTGAATTGGGTACCACGTAACGAATTTTCAGGCGACACGAGGCCAGGATGTGATGGGAAGTGGCCGCCGCGGTACGACATGAGGTAGACGCCCTCTTCGGTTGTAACTCAACAATGATCTCAAGAGCCTTCTTTGCTCTTCCTTATTAGCAGAACGAGTACCCAAAGGGATTCCCTTTTTCCCCAGAGTGTTGTTTCTTGGAAGAAGGTTCAGGCTTTTGAGATGCGAATGCGGTGCGTCGGCAAGACTTCGCCGTGCCGTTTGTAGCGGCTAATTATCGGCGGGAAATCGGAAAAACCTTACGGCCGTACCACAAACTGCATCATCCACTGGGCCATGAGAAATTTAAAGACCGTCAGGTTTCCCGTTCTAGCCTGAAAGTTGAGCGGTCCAGTCGTCGGAGAGTCCGAGTCGTCTTTGTCCTAATTCCAAGCGTCTTACGTCACAATTCTCAGACATCCAAGCATCTGACGTCACGACTCCTCACCTGCGCTAGTCGGCGCACACGTGGCCGTTCCTCCTACGACCTTCAGCAGAGTCGTTTGCCGGGACGTCGTTCCGGTGAGCGACGTTCCGTTCTGCTGCAACTCCCAGCATTCCGTCGTTCCGGGCGCCCCCGGAATGTACAACTGCGACTGGAGCGGAACCGTCACCTCGAACGGATGCGCTGTGCAGCTGAGCGCCACTGGGGTGCCGGCGCTGCTCGTAAACAACACGCTAACCATGCTGCTAACCACCCGAACGCTGCCTAACCCCAGCAGGTTAAGCCCGGCCAGCCCCTGAATCGCCGCCGAGTAATCAATGTGGGTTACGATCACCGACAGCTGGTCGGTGCAGTCCGGGTTAGCCTTGCAGCAGTCCCTTAACCCGCCCGGTAACGCAACGGTCGCCTGCGAAGCCGTCGACGCCTGCGTGGTTGCGGTTCCCGAGACCAGGGGGGTGTTAACCGGCTGCTGCTCCACTAACCACCGCCGCCTGTGTGGCGTCCCCACGGCCTGCGAGCCTTGCCTTTCGGTGGCCGAGTCCCAGCGGTTAGTGCTTAACCCGCTTGCGAACTGGCGCCCCAGCCGCTTAAGCAGCTGCCCGTTGGTCTCGGCGATCTCGCGGGCGCTGGCCCCGGCCAATGTGCGGGTGCCACGTGTCAGGTCCTCGAGCAGCGCGGAGTCCTCGTCGGATTGCAGGAGCGTCCGCCTCCGGTAACGGTTGTTGCTGTAGTAGTTATTGTACGTGTAGTCGTTATCATATCGGTCGTTGGACGAACCGAGCGAACAGCTGTAGCTGGTCTTGGCCGGCAATGACGTCGTGTCGATGGTCTGCAAAATGAGAACATGACGTCAGCATCGAACGGTGTGGACCCAAAAGCGTGGGCCTTCGCCGTGCTGATGTTGTGCTTTGCTGTCGTTCTACGATCTAAGAGCTACGTGGCGCTACAGAAGCGAGCCACTTGTCACCAGCTGGCTGCCAAAAGACCTTCCCATCCAAACTTGCAGACGCTAGTCAAGACGAAAGCCGCAGGTGTAATTCTCAGGGAGAGAAAAGGCGCTTCAAATCCTCCTTCAAGGTGCACGACAATCTATTTGCAGACACCAGAGATGATACGCAAGTCCAGGAGTGATGACGTCAGGAGCGGAACTAAAGCGCAAGCAGGGAATGCCATCCACGACAGCATGATCGCCGTTGAGAAGATCCAACACTTGCAATCGCCCAGGGGCCAGTCGAGTTGCACTTCTCGTATCTGAGCCTGGGTTTGCGCCTTCCTTTCAGAGCTAAGTCCACTTTCTCATGACAACACACGTTTCCCCAACAGCGTACTCCTTGCCGACCAGCATCTAGTGACCTCACCTGGTACGTCATGCTGCACGACTGCGACTGGTAGGTCCCGGCGGGCTCCCCCGGGCACTTGTTCTGCGCAAACGCTTGGGCCAGGTAATACAGCAAACCCTGACCGGTCCAAAGGGTGCGTAGGCACCCCCCCGTGCCGTCATCATCGTCGTCATCGTACCTTCTTGAGGGCGACCGCGAAGGAGAGGGAGACGGGGATTTGGTCGCCGGTGGGGACTTGGGACGGGGAGGGGGAGGGTGTGGGGAGATCGTGGGGACGGGGACGGGGTAG